TTTTACCTACTTCTGTGAGCAGTCGTATCTTAGAGGGAGCTGGAGAATACTTTTTGCACAGAATCAAGACATTGAACCAGCAGCTTTCTGCAGAGAATTGTAGCAGGCTCAAACTCCTTCAGGCAAGGTAGCTGAGTTAGGGAATGGGAGTCCCTGCCTCTCAAAGAGGGGGGCTGCTGCCAGGGGGTACGCAGTGACTGCTGACTGCCAGGCCTCACTGATTTTGAGCATGTCAAAGCCCAGAACCTGTGTTCCTTTCAGAGATGTGATATATATAGTTCATTGTCTGGCATCATCGTTTCAGGAGTGTGCTGCCTTCTGTTGAAGTTCACTCAGGTTGATAAGGGAGACCTTATTGCTCTATCCAGCTACCTGACAGGAAGTTGTAGTGAGGTGAGGGTTGGTCTCATGTACCTGATAACAAATGAAAGGACAAGAGAAAATGGCCTCAAGTTGCGCCAAGGGGAGCTTCAACTGGATATTAGGGAAAATTTCTTCTACTGAAAGAGTTGTCAAGCACTGGAGCAAGCTGGCCGGGGAAGTGTTGGAGTCACCATCCCTGGAGGTGTTTAGAAGACGTCTAGATGCGACATTTAGTGACATGGTTTAGTGGTGGACTTGGCAGTGCTAGGTTAATGGTTGGACTGAATTATTTTAAAGGTCATTTCCAACCTAAATGATTCTATGACTCTGTTGTGGTGGTTATCCCTATAGTGGATGGTGGTGGGTTGACCCTGACTGATAACTAAGCCAGTCTGGCTCACTTCCCCAAAATGAGAAAACAACTCATGAGCTGAGGTAAAGCCAGTTTAATAAATGAGGAAAACAAAAACAAACCACAAAACAAACAACAAAAATGCAAAAACCAAGAGATGCAAGTCACTCACCCACCCAGTATAGCAATTCAGTACCAGATGCAGTGGCTGCTGGAACTGATATGATTTTGCGGTACCTTACCTCCTCGTTGTTGGCAAAGAGAATTCCCTTCTCCAGAAGTCCCCCACTGTCACTGTATTTCCTTCCACATGGGCTGTGCTCAGACTTGTACAGGCCCTGTGAATTTTACTGTAAAGGTTGATCCTTTTAAGCAATTGTAGCCACAGCTCCCTCAGTTGTTTGTTGAACAAGGAGACACTTTGGTTGTAAGATCACAACTATCAGCCCTGTTTTATGATTTTTATGAGCATTAATGGAACAAGGTTTGTGGACTGAAGGAGAAAATGGAATATGAAAAGGAAAATGAAAAGAGGTTGTGAGGAAAGCATGTCATTTCTAAATGAATGCTCTGTGCAGAGGAATTTAATCTTTTCACAACTGAAAATGGATCTTAAATCTGATGCCTTAGCTTGTTTCAGCTTCTGTAATGAAATAGAGTTTCCTAATACCCTGTGACCTGAATTTCTCCCTGCTTTATGGGTGCTATTCCTTGACGTACAAACCTGTATTTTCTCAAGTCAGCATTTGATGATGGATGTCAAAATACAGGTCATGTATTATGCATATAGCATTACCGATTTAAGGTGTTTACTTGTCAAGTTGAAGAAATTCAAAAATGTCACATTCACTGAATCTGCACAGCTGTCACTTGTAGTTTTTCATGCCTTTAAATGAAAGTTCTGATAAAGCAGGTTAGTTTTCCTGCACTTTTTTTTTTTTCTCTTTTCTGGAGGAAAAAAATAGGCAACCTATGTATAGAATTTACTTTGTGGCTTGGGAGCAGGAATGTGGCCTGAAGGTGTACGAAACCATGTGACTCCAAACACAGGCGGACAAAATCCAGGAATATTTCAGTTTTCCTTTTCCTTAAAATATTCCAAAATTTTTTGTAAAAGTAAATATCTAGAGTGCCTGAATTAAGTATGAGCAAGGAAATTAAATTAACAGATATTTCTCACATCTTTCAAGACCATAGGATGAAAAATATCAAGGCATGAGTCTAGTTTTACATTCAAGGTGAAAACAAATTCCTCTTAACATGCTTCCTGCATTTCAGACCGAATGCACTATGTGCGCAGTGTGCAATTACAGAGCTTCTGACAGTCGCTGTCTAACAGAAATGCTACATTTACTTCAATCTTCTGACACCATCCTAGGAAGGCAAATATTTGAAGGGTTAGAGAGGTGGCTACAAACAGCCTTCGATGGAGAGAGTGCGTGTCTGTGCCTCTATATGTGTGCACATTGCAGTGGAGGGAAGACAAGAAGAAGTTGCATATTTAGATGCAGTTATGCTAACTTACTTCAATTTGCTTTTAGCTGGTAGGGAAATGCTGATGTGCTCCTACCATCTGAAGAGCCTGATTCTCTAAAAAATGTTTTAGGGAGTGCATCCTGAGATGGGCAGAGGAAAGCCTTCCGGAAAAAAGGAGAGAGCCTCTAGGGATGCTCCGAGCAGTACAATCCCTAGGGCGCATGAGAACAGTATTAGTTTTCTTTGCTCTCAGATAACTGAGTGTAAAAAAATCTTGCTGTTGCCATTTTAACCTGTAATTCTGCAGAGAACCCAACTGCCTGCCACCATAACTGCTAAAGGAGTCTGGATGAGCTTTTTCTGTTATACTGTGACAAAGGCCATATCTTCCATCTCCTAACAGAATGCATTCCATAACAGAGTGCAAGACTTAAAACACTAGATCCTGCTGCAGAAGGAGGTGTCGCATTAATACCCACCTGTACTCAGATAGCATTTGAAGTCCTGCTTTCATTTTCCTGCTGTTGAGGGAGTGTCAGCATCACCTGTAAGTTATGAGGTGGTGCCTGAATTACCTCTGTTAGACTCACTTTGTGAGCCTGAGGAATCTCAAGCTCTGCCATGCAGAAGTAAATGTTCAAAGAGCCAAGACAGCTATCAGTCATAGTGCCAGATACAAGGAAACATCTGCAAACCAATACCAGCTGGAAATGCAACTCACTGTCATCATGTTGGTCTTACTGAATTAGTTTCAGCACAAGGAGCAATATTAAATGACTGACTGTTAACACTTCTGATTCTCTTGTAGAAATCTGCTTTCTAAAGATTTTCCATGCACTGGTAATATTAAATAGAATTGTTTTACTGACTTAGGTTTGCCTATGGCAATGTTTTATTCTTGCAAGACACATCCACTTCTTTTCTCCTAAGGAATTTCTTCACAGACTTTTCACTCTCATCTTAGTTATCCTGTCTGTACAATCATCATGTTGCATCTAGTTTTCTTGTGATAGAATGAAATTCATACTGGTACCTTCTAGAGGGCTAAGAAAGTCTCTCCTAAGTAATTATTGCCTGTATGTTCTATATGTGATACAGACAAAATATAGGGACAGATGAATGGAAAGAGAAATTTAAATCCCATTAAATAAAGAAGTCCAGATCTAGTGGTCCATGTAGTTTAGGGGCAGGTTAAGAGTGATGGTACTTATCACTGAAAAAAAATCATAAATCCTTCAGAAAATATAAAACCAGTACAATGTGTTAACAATTACAATTTAGTTTAGAAATTTCCTGGTTTGTAAATTGGTCCCCAAACTAAAGCAAGGTAAACTACATAATATCACATTCTTCTGAATTCAGTAACAGATGAATGAATGTATCAGTGAATTTAATGGTGTGAAACAGTTTCCACACTGCAAGAAGATAATGAAGTTACGGCAGGAATTAATTTGGCTTTGATTAATTTAGAATCAGTATATGGAGAAATCAGAACTATTGACAGAGGACCAAAAGTCTGTCCCTGGATGTCAGGTGTGAAGTCAAAGAACTTAGGAATAATGTGGCAGAAAAATTTAATGTCTTCTCAGAAATCTGTGTTTTAAAGTGAGCTTGGGTCAATCCTATTTCTGACCTACAAATGTTTGCCTAAAAATGCTGCCTTAACATTTTTCTACATTAAACCCTAAAGTCAACCTCTAGCTTCACCATTACTTCTGCAATAATGACATTAAATGAACATTCCCATGCTTTCTGCAGCTTTAATGGACAAGGGAGGTAGAATACTTTAGTCTCAACAGTGAATTTCCATCCTTCTATTGCATGGGCTTTTGTATAACTACTTGTTTTTCAGTATTTACAATCAAACTCCAAAAGGCTTTTCCTGGGTATTTTTTGTTTAAAGAAAAAGAAAAAAAAAGAGAAGAAAAAAAAAGGACAAAAAAAATGCTCTATGTCAAGGGCTCCATTTCAAAGTGTGTAGAGAATCAGGCTGAAAACATAATATCTTTTGGAGGTGAACCTTGCTCCAAATCTCTTTTTTTTGTGAGTGCCTGCCAATATGTTTCCTCTCCCACCTTTGTTTCCTTTACATCTTCACTCTTTTTAGTTTCTTTTGAAGGATTCCTCTTAGATACTGTTTGAAAACCTGTGTCTTTTCCCATCCATCCTATCTTTCTGTCTGTTAGAATGAACTCTTGCATCGCAGTATTCCTACAATGATAATCCTTATAGAAATGCATATTATAAATGGTACACATGAAAATTAAAAAAACAATCAAACAAACAAAACACCATGTGTGGGTTATATTGCTCCTGGAAAACAGGTGAACCCTGCTTGTTGATCAAACCTAAAACCAGCTAGTGGAAACAATTTGTTCCTCATGGTTTTACTACCATTTACAAACGGTACTCTTTAAAATGTTATTTGTTGTTTAAGGAAAGGTGTTTATTTCAGGATTACTGAAATACTGATAAGATAAAATTAAACCTCTCAAACACTGTGGTCTTTTTTTATTAAAGTAAGCATTACTCTTTCCATTTTACACCTTTTGATGCAAAACCTTAGGATAACAAAATGAATTTCAGTTTCTCCATTAACCATCAAATATCTTACAGTAGAAATAAACTGCATATTTGTGAAGGATTATGCTTTTATGAAATAATTGTTGAAAATTAAGTCAATTTTTTTTAAATTACAATTTTTTACCATACTTTCCTGGAAAATAATAAAATCAGAGATAGGGAATTCCCCATAGTTTGTCCTCTGTAAACTTTCTCTTTTTTTTTTTCCTTTTCTTTTTTCTTTTAGGCTTTACACCCCCTGGAATGGATAGGTCATCTCCAGACAACAGTCCAGTCCATGGCCTGTTACGTCAACCCTCCATTACAACAGGAGCCAACATCCCTATTATTACAGAGCTAGGTAAGGAAAGTGAACATTTATCCTTTCATGTACATTCCCGTATCTTTTTCCCACTTCCCTTGTTATGCAGTCACAGAAAAATTACCCATACTGTATCTTACACTGTTATGTTTTCTCTTTTGATAACTGTTTTGAATTACTCTCTCTAAAGAAAGTTTAGTAACAGTTGGTTCACTTTATTTGAATAACTGAAATATATTTCTCTCCTCCCTTTGGGTTTTCTCCATTTTCTTAAATAAATATTCTATCAGGCAAGATGCTTTTTGCATAGCATAGCAAATAAGCAGAGGTCTTTGAGCTAAGGTTAGAAAAGGAAGAAAGCCACAGTAAGTATGAGCAGATATTTCCTGTGCAGTTAATCAATTGTAAGAGGCCATTTGTTTATTTCTTCATGGTCCAAAACTGTTTAATCATGTGTAACCAAACTCTGTATAATAGTATGAGATATTTTACTCCTGAGAATACGATGATGGTAGGTAACTAGACTCTGATTTCCACTCTAGCTGTGGGTATTTATGTTGTCAAGTGGTGTGATGTGAAGTGCAGAAGCTGTTCTGTTTTTTTCATGGCAAATACAAACTTGATCTGTGGTCCTTTGTCCTCTATTTTCTTTTTCAGTTTTATTTTTTAGAGCCTTATCTGTCTTTTTCCCTTACTTTATTCTCTTTCTGTACTTTCTTTTCCCCCTAAATACTTTACTTACTAGCTAAGCCTGGCAAACTTCTGCCTTTGGTTTCAATCAGTCAGGAAAAAAACAGTGGAACCCACATTCTTATGATAACTGAACTGGGTAAGAAGTGCCTTTTTCCTTCACATCACTGTCTTATTTTCTGTTGTTGTTCTTACTGTCATCAGCTTTCCCTTTATTTATCTGGCTGTATCAGAGGGGCTACCCTCATGGCACTGCTTTGAATGTGTTTTATTTGTGGTTCTAGTTGAAATTGACTGTCTTGTTCTGGTCTTTCTTAATGATTTTTTTTTTCACGCAGCATCAGTAAACCTTTGATCACACTCGTCTGACCTGCCGGCTGTTTTCATAGCACCTCCTCACCAATTCATTTTCTTTGACCTGAGTCCCCACCTCCCAGCGCCCCCCCTTCATCTCCCCCCAATTTTTCTCTCCTTTTCTCTCTCTCTTTCTCTTTCTTTTTTGTTACTTCAGCCTGTTGTCAGTTTGGTGGACATGCCTTAACAGTTTTCACAGGAAGTCCAAGAAGAACTAAAAGATACCAGGAAAAAAACCCCAGCATCATACTTTCCCTTAAGCTATTTGTTTGTTTATTTTAGGGAATAGGCTTTTTCCCAGAAGCTCAGGTTTTGAAGCTGTAGAGAAGCAGTCAAGTCTCACCAGCTCTCACCAGCTTTTGCGAGCAGCGTTTGATGAGCTTTCCCTGTGGTGCAGCACAACATATTTGAACCCACCTCACCTGGCCCAGAGACCATTCATAGAAATACTGCATTAGGAAGATAAAGATATTGAAGATAACACACCTGCAGAATTCACATTAGATTTGTAGCATCTTGGGAACTGACACCATGTGTGTCTAGCAAGTTGGTGTCTAAGACAGGTATTAGTCTGCCAGATGTAAGTGGAAAAAGAATGGTACTGTCAATAGTGCCTAGTCTCAACTAGCAAATTAAACTAAGATACAAGCTTTTCAAAAAGTACATTTTGAAATGATACAGCAGGCTTTCGAATGCTATATTGCTCAAGAATCTGGAGAATAAATTGATAGATATTGTACTAAAGAAAGAAGTATTGTGGATATTGGTGTTTTCTTGGATGAAATTCTTCTGACTCCCGGGGCACAACATTTCTCTGATTGCAATGGTGAGGTGTTATGTATTTGCAGTTACATCAGGGAGTGAGTGGGAAGGCAGGAATTTTAAATCCTAGTCTCATCTCCTTTAGACAGCTATCATGAGGCTTTATCAGTAGTAATTTATGTTTTGTAAGCTAAGCATGGCAAGGACAGTAGAATATAGTCTGGAAAAGGAGTGGATGGAAAAGAAAACTATATGGGAGGTAGCTAAACTGTATGAGAAGGAAGATCAGAGTAGCAGGCAGAAGAATTTCTAGCTTGAGAAGGTCAGAGCTGAAATCTGATAAAGTTAACAGCAGCTCTCATTCTGTCTTCAGAGTTCGCTGGGTTGACTCAGGAGACATGTTCACACAGGGAGTAGGGACATGGTCAGTATATGCAGTTTCAAATGCTCAAAAAGTTTTTAATTTCCCTTTCTTGCATGGGAACTGAAATTAATTTGTTGTTTAGTAAGTTGAAGGGTATTCCGATGGCGTAGCTAAGCAGTCTGTGCTTTCATGCCTGAGGGAGATTAATATGGAAATGAAATATTTCATGAAATATGATCCACTTGATACACTGATCTCAAGGAAACAACTGTTTTTATTTGGAATGAGATGGAGGCAGAGGGCTTAACTGTGACAATGAAATGCCAGAGGAAGTCTAAATGACAAATACTACTTTATTCCGGCTTTTTCTTTAAAACAACCTCATGTAGATTCTTTTTCACACTGGCTAATATAGAATTTGTGGATGAGAAAGTGAAGTTACGGAGACAAATATTTGAACAAAAGGCAGTGCTGCAAGAGAATAGCTGCTCATTCATTCAGATAGATGCATGTTAAAGGGACAGTCTATCCTCTTTTGAGCCATAAGTGCGTTAACATCATTCCAGTAAGAATCACAGCAGCACATCTAACAGATGCCTGTGGGCTATATTAGAGTTTTATTGACAGCCTTTATTTTACAACGGGGTTCTAACTTTGTATCTTGTGATAACATTTCACTATTCATGCATACAGCCTTAGCCACTGTACCCGACCAATACCAAGATTGTCTCAATAAATAAGTGCATCGTGTATCTCATTTTAAGTGCAGGCAGCTGGTGCCACAAAGCTACTTTTGCAGCAAAGGGATAGTCACTTCTCAAGAACAAGAGTGTCACCTCTTACAAGCAACAGATTTTTAAATGCACGTTTTCACATCCATCTTGATTTCATTTTCAGTGACGTCAAAGACACAAGTCTGTGTTTCCAGACATATACCGTTTCTTTTTCTTTGACTGTGTAATGTGTGAGGTCGCATGCTGGTGACCCAGAGGCACCTTATGATTTTACTGTTCTTCTTATTATTATTTTCAGTAAATGATTCAAATGTTCAGTTCTTGGACCAAGATGATGATGATGATCCAGACACAGAACTGTATCTCACGCAGCCCTTTGCATGTGGAACCGCGTTTGCTGTCAGTGTGCTGGACTCTCTCATGAGCGCAGTAAGCAAACAAAAGCTTTTTCATTCCCTTCCGTCAGACTTATTATGAAAGAGTGTGAAAGCATAGACCCTTTTCCTCAGGTAGGCACAAGAAGACACTTTTTTCTTAGAAGTCAAGAATTTCAGAACCTAAACTAGGTTATTTTTCCTGTTGGACATGGAGACCTTAACTGAGATATCTAGGACTTCCACAAGTCCACAATTTTATGAGGAAAGAGTCAGATTTTAAGGATAATATTTTAAGGATAATATTTTAAGGATAATATTTTCCAAAAAAAAGTCATCTCTTCCTCCTGAAATCCAGACACAAATTCAGTGTGTCAGTCCCTATGCTCACCATTCATGTCATACAACATCAACTGTGTTTTGAGCTTTTAATTTCCTGTAGCTATGAACAATGCTCTGAATATGAGCACTGGGGGACACTGATAGAACTGTATGAAAGCCATTGTACACATCTCATGAACTCTACTTGTGTGAAGAAAGGTTATCCTCTCTTTTTCATACGAGTTTTCTTGTGAATCAAAACTTCAGCGCATGCCAGAAACTACAGATGGTGGCCTTTGGTTATGTCTACATTAGGACTTTTGGGTTGCAGCCACAGTACAGTTTTGAAGCCTCAGTCCCACTCCTTTTCATTCTCCTCATATTGTCTTAAGTCTGCAGACCAGTCTTGCTCTGTGTGAGCTACACTTCTTTCAGAGTGACCTTCAGCTCTGCTAGATATAGCAAGGATATAGTCTTTTTAAAATCTAAGCTTAGGTTTTTTGAACTCCTCATGGAATAAAATTCCATAGTGCTGGGAATCATCTGTTGTAAGTAAGACTATGTATCAGCAGATGGATTTCTTTAAAGGAACCAAGTCCAACCTTCACCTAAATTCAGAATGAAGCTTTTTGCTTTTAAGAAAAATTCACAGTGATCTTTATTATTTAGTATTTTTTTTGTATTTCATATTTATGTCTGTATTTTGTATTTTTCGCTGTTATATTTCTCATATGTTTTATCCAGATGAATAATATCAGTCTACACTGATAAAAGTTTATTCTATTGCAGTCTAGGAGTTTTCAATAACCTCAGAAAATGCTTTTCTTAAAAGCTATTTACAGTGTTTTGCAGATGTGACAAATTCAGAAAGCCTAAGCAAACACATTTAACTCAGTACCTTCTCTAATTAAAATCTCTACCTATAAAATATTTGACATTTTCAAATTATATATCGGAATGATTTAACAAATTGTTATACTGAGAGCTGTATATCTACTCCCATTATTATCTAAATCAATGTCCCTGAATATATTGTTCAGTAGAACATTTCCAGAATCTCAAAAAAGTAGGATTAATCATTCTGGTTGCCTCTGGCATCACCACAGAAAGAGAGTGAAATGTTGTGGACATCACTGCTTTCTTGTGCAAAAGTATGTCATGTAAATAATAGTGAGGCAATGAAAAATATGTAGAGACCATACCTGTTCAGAAATTTTTATTTGGAATTCACCATATAATCCTCATAATATTTTTAGTTATTGCTAGCTTTTATTAACTTTCATTTTTTGACAACATGCCCCTCCATTTCTGCAATTGCTTTCTTTAACAGTCTTTTTTCCAAACATTTTCACATCTAAGTGGTCATACTGTATGTCAGGGACAGTGCAGCCTGAAGCCAGAGAAATGTGATAACAAGAGTAGAAAATTCTATACTTAGAAAAAATACTAATCAAGAAGACAAGCCAAGGATTCAGTCACTTAGAATTGTTCACCATCCTGTCTTTTCTTTCACCACTTTGCTGATTGGTAGCAGCGTTATTTTCTCTTTTATTCCTCAAAGGCCCAGTAAAGAGTTGGAAAAGTACAATTCTTCCTGACCCTTCAGAAAGGGTAAAATGTGTGAGATGTTTTCCCTTTACTATCCCTATTCTCATGGGAAAGATGTATTCTCCTTTCACTTCTTCTCCAAGGAAAAGAGTGTTTCTCACACAAACTAATCTACTTGCACTATATTATCTGTTTGTTGTTTTTTTTTTTTTCTCCAGAGTACATTCTTTTTAGGAACCAGCTTCTATTCATTCTGTCTAGCTTCAAGCCAGTGTGGGCAAACTGAACCCAAAATCCCTGCTAAGTTGTGAGATCTGCAGTCATGCTTTCATCCTATTAATTACACAGGAATTCTGTAAGAAGTATATAACTTGCACTGTGCTGGCCTTTGCCAGCACACTTGGAAACAACTCTATAGTTCATTATTTGATCCACTTAATGATTCAGGGGGTTTTAGTACCTAATTTTTATAGGAAAATTTCAATTTATGATGTCTGTTGATATCTCTGTAATGCAAATTCCTTATGTAGTCTACAATGCAGATGTACAAGGCATGAACTTCTCCTTTAAGAATGAATCTCTTCTCACGGTAGTAAAGTTTTGTAGTAAAACAGGTGTAAGAAAGATTAGAAAGTAAAATAATGCCCATGCATACAGTATTATTTCTGACCTGTGGATAATCTGAAACATACATATAGATGTATGTATATAGAAAAAAAGGTACAAAATATATTTTAAATAATTCAGTCATTGGATAATAATAATAATTCTACAGTATTAATCAGTGGTAAGCTATTAGTTTATTTTTTTATAGTTTCATTAATAGAGAGATAGTGCACTAAACCCTACTCATGAATCACAGATTAGAAAATCTGGTCACTTTCTGACTCAACTCTGAATGCTGAAACTCTTTACATTCTGCTAGTTTAGAATTATTTCCTATTAGACGACAGTATTAGATATTTTAAATTTGAAATTGTCTGTTATTTCCCTATTTTGAAGATAAAAGGCCCAATGAAGTTTAGTGTTCAAAATGCTATCTACTGGCCACCTACACACAGTTTGTCCTTTGCAGCAAAGGCAATATATTCCACAAGCCCAAGATTCACAGTGTAGTAGCTGAAACATCATTGCTGAGAAGACAGTAACCGGGTCAAAACCTGCATTGTCTTTTTGATGAATTGGTAGCAGTGGTCTCTCCAGGCTTCAGTTTGAGGGCGTTGTTGTGCTCTGTGTGAAGACTCTAGACATAATTCATGTTTTAACCATGACAGTGGCTATTGTTAAATCATTCCAGCTAATCATTATAATGTCTTTGAAGAGACATCTACTGCCATTAGATACTTGAATCATATATTAATATTTGTTGTAACATGTGCAAACCCAGGGAAAGAGTACATGTAGTCTGTCAGTCTCAAGGTGGCACCACTCCTGAAGAGCAGAGCATGTTCTCATCACCAAGTGGAATGTGACTAAAAAGTGTGGGATTGGAAGCATCTTTAAGATTATGTAATTGGTTTTTAAAAATATTATCTTCAGCTATAGAAAAGTTATATGACATAGGATAGTCTAAGACAAGCAAATTTTTGAACAGAAGTACTTTTTCCCTTTCTGGTGGTTGTTGTTGAGACAGGTATTCCAGAAAATCCTGTGCATGCAAGGAAACCAGCTTTATCAGACTACAGTACCTTAAAGGTTTGAGCAGTTGGCCTGAGAGCCAAAGCTTTGCTCTTACTCCTTTTGGCACTGAAGCTATGAGAACCACAGAAGTTCTGGTGGGTTGTTATCCCTCCCACACATACCACTGGCAACAGACCTGACGTACTGTCGGAGTGGTGCCATTAGAGGCAAGGATCTCCAGAACCAGATCATACCCTTTAATGTTCAATATCATGGAATTCATTTCCTAATGCTAGAACTTTAGGTCTTGATTTTTTTCTGTATTACCAAGTTCTACTTTTTCTTCATATAAACAAAAGCACAGAATGGAAGAAAATAGTTAAAACAGTTAAAAATAACTTTTCATTATGTCTCCTTTTTGAGAGTTCTGTCTGAGGGATCCTCACAGTCTTATTTATACAGAAAAGAAACTGTTCTAATCTGTGATATGGACATTTTGAAACATAAGACTATAAGTCTGTTCAGGGGTTAGCAAGCAACATCTTGTAACTTAAAGTGTCCCAAACATCTTTAAAGTTTGGACAATACTTTGAGAATTAATAGATTTTCAAACTGTGAAATGCTGTTATTTATTTTCTACTGTTGGTTCTGTCTCAAAAGCAGGTTTGTTATTGATAGGAGTTACTGATGTCAGCTCAGTCATTCCTCAGGTTTGGATATGTATTATTCCTCCCACTGAAAAAAAAAAAAAAGGCAGCAATTTAAGATATTTCTTTGAAAGTGAGGTTAAAAGCTGCATGCAGTGGCAAAGGAGTCTTCTTAAAGGAAATCCATACAAAAACAGCAGAAAACACTAAAAGAGGCAGATATTACTTGGAAAATGACAATTTTAGTGTAATTATAAACGAAAGGAAAAGTACTATTAAAGTTAAAGCAATATTATTAAAAGATGTGCTAATTTTCAGTTACATTTTCTGTAGAAGACCAATTAGTTTAAAAGGCTTGACAGCATTAACTGCAAAACATAAGCACTCTGGTAATTATACTTTAAAAAATGATTGAACAAATGGGAAAGCATCCCCAAAACATCTGAAAGAGCAGCACTACAATTCCGGAGCATGGGCTAGGTGGCACTGCTAGCTCAGATATCTGTGTCATAATTTCCTTGCTATTTACCCAGTTTCAGTGTCTATGATGCATTTCCTTTTTTCTGTGTTTAGACTACACCTATTTCATAGTCTCATCCCGGATGCCGACTAAAGCAATGTCATGCAGATGTCCAGTGTAGGGTTTGGTCAATGACAGTAGCAAACAAGTATTTCATCAGTTATGATTTTATATTAAACAAAAGGAATTCTTTGCCATCACTGGAAAGTGCCTTGTTACTTTAAATACAACAGCACCTTTCCAAAGACATTCTGTAGATCAGTTTCTTATAAGTACTGGCATATCCAGGCCATGTACCCTCCCACAGAGCAAGTAGCAGATCACTCTCAAATTAATTTCAGTGTATTATTATTCCAAAGGAAATGGATATCAGCTATTCAGTGTCCCCCCAGTTCCAAACTGGCAAGAGGCTGATTTTTGTGACAATCAAAAGCAGGGACAGACAGGTTTTTCCTGAGGAGTATTAAAGACATTAGTACAGGAGGAAGAGACCCTATTTAGCAGACAGTAACAAGTTACAGCTTCCTATTCACCCATCTTTTCTTGCTTATGGTTGGGCGTTTTCTGATTAGATGCAATGCTGGAGCAGTTTATCCTGAAATTTGGAACCTTTTCTCTCACTGATGACATAAAAAACCCCAAAACCCATCACTTGACTGCACTCATCCAGCTGATTAAATGGTGACATCCAAATCCATCATGGTGTGAAACCCAAATTAAGCCATTGTTCCAAGATAAATGTTACATCCTTTGCTAGTACATGTCTTTACTTTGCCTTAACATTTGTCTAGCAGTGGGAAACCTTTCTCTGGTGACAGTATTATGTTCCATCAACAGTAGATCTGGTTCTTTTTTCATTTACATCTTGGATTCTGGCTACTGCTATAATTTGAATTACAGAATAGAGAGAGAAAGGGTTGGAAATCAGTGAAGGCTTGCCTATTTTACTCCTATAGGGTAATGAAATTATCAGTGCTATTTTAGACTTTTTCATGTTTTACCAGTCACTGCAGTCTATAAAAAACAGGCTATTTTAAAAGAACCAGCATCCATCAGTCTTGGAGCAGGTGATCATTTCTCACCATAATTGGCCTCATTGTGAAACATATTTAAAAAAAACACCAGTAAAGATATGCTTTTACTTTCGTTTCATGTTCTTCTATATTGATTTATAGATGTAAAACTACAAACAGCATTTTTGAATAATACTAAATATCACTACTTAAAGAAGAAAAGGAATCAAAAGTCCGTAATAAAAAAGTGGGGAAGGTGTGAGAAAAGACCCTATTGCATAAAATTTTATACTTTTGTCAAGATGTGTGCTTAAGATGCCATATATAATATATTCTTATATATATATTATAAGAATATATTGAAACACAATTTTCTGAGGGCTTCTACAATTGCGGTACCTCCAACCCTCTAGATCTGGCAGAATTTGGTTTTATATCCATGAAACTAGTGTCAAGCAACATTGCTGCCTAACTGCAGGAGCAAAGGATTTGTGCTCATTATTTTAGTTCTGAGTGCTATATAGCACATGCTGACAAAGCAAAGAGAAGAGACTAACTTTATTGCTTTTTTTTTTTCCCTTTGGATTCTGAGTACTTCCATGTTGGAAAAGTATAGCACAGTGGGAAGAGTTGCCAAAAAAAGCAACTCTGATTCTCACCTCAGGGACATCAAGAAAGAAGTAATTGAAGAATAAAAAATCATGCCTGGATGTCTTCTCTCTCTCTCCATGGCAATTCCTATTAAACATCATGTAATTGCTCCAGACTTACGTTCCTGAAAGGGGTCACATTGATTTTTCTGTATGTTAAGAAAGGTTTGAGTATTGCACTTGAATTGTTACAGTGCATCCACATATGTAAGAGCTGATTTGAGATTAGCTGTTGTTTTAGACTAGCTGAATCTTCCTGAATCCTTGCTTATGTCAGACTACTCTTTACAGTACACTTTGTATTTAAAATATGTGGTGCCTTACCCAGGTTAATTTAAAATAATTGGAACTGATGAGATGCAAATATTTGCTTTAGGGCATATATAACAATAACAATATGTTCCTCTCATTTTAATTGAGTCAACAGGTGAATGGCATAATAGCCTATGTAAATAAGCAGAGAAGCTTGAAATTATGAAACTTCAATGTAACAGTGAAAAACATTGCCACGTAGGACTCATTTTCTTCTGTTTTATCTGTCATCTCAAGGAAACAATGAAACTGAAGTTTCATTATACAAAGAAAGAATATCAAAGTAACATGGACAAGAAGCCAGTTCTGCTTTTTGATCTCAGGATAAAATATTTCAACCTGTACCTCAGTTTACCCATGTATTAAATACCATTACATTATATAGATAGAGCAATGAATTTCATTGAAAAGTATTATTTAAAAATTATTCTCTTTAGATAATAAGCACTGTTTGAGAATTCATTTCATTCATTTTTGCTTGGTTGGATTACAGACATTTGTTCCAAGTTGTAAATTCAACAAAAGTCACAGATCCAGTAATGTCAATCCTGTGTACTCTACAGTGAGCTCATTTTCCCCTTGCATGTCCCCCACACTCGCAAAGCTTCTGAAAACAGACATTAGTGACATTATAAGTGATAGCGTCTCCTTTTTTTGTTCTTTTTTTTTTTTTTTTGCCCAGTACAATGCATTGCGGATATTTAACTGAGTATATCTGAACTATACCCGTACACTTTTAAGTGAACTTGAAAGTCATTCATCTGGATTTAAATTAATATTTTACATACCCATTGTTTGCCTGACAGACCAGCAATGCTACAGATGCTGGCAAAATGTCAGTGTGGAGTAAATCTTCCCTAATAAACCACACTTACCCTATACCCTAGAGTTTTTTAAAAGGACCACCAGGATCCCAAACTCATCATACATTTATCTGGAATGAACTCAAGATGTTTAATTGATACATGCTTATGTCTGAACACTGTCAAGTCTCGTAATAAGATGTTTAGTACAATACATCGGTTAGACTGCTAGAGTCCAGCCACAGTAATAAGTAATGACATTTGCAGCACAAAGGCAGCTCCCCAACGAATTGGTGACAAGAGTAAAAAGGCAATCTAGCCTGTGTAAGCTTTAAATGTGGTCTGAATTTTACAATTACATGTCCTAAAGCCCATTATTAGACATGAAGGCGATGAGAAGAAAAGCAGTCATTGCATCACTACTAACACCAATTATAGGAAACATAAATCATTCAAATTTTTGTACTTTAATAAAAATCAGCCTGAATTGGTGTTTAGAAGGAAGGATCTAGTATAGGAGCCTAATGGGATAGAAGAAAATAGAGTAATTGGAGGCTGCTGTCTTTTCACTTTCTATATAAAATTATTTGAAGAGACAGCCAAGAACTTTAAACAGCAGAAACCCGGAAAAGTTGTAATTTGGATGTCTTCAGTTGTGACTTTAATGGTGTTTGCTTAAAGAGCTTTCTTTTATCTCTGCAGACATACTTCAATGACAATATCCTCACACTGATACGGACATTGGTAACAGGAGGAGCCACACCAGAGCTGGAAGCACTGATTGCTGAGGAAAATGCATTGAGAGGAGGTTACAGCACGCCCCAGACACTTGCAAACAGGGACAGGTGTCGAGTTGCTCAGTTGGCTTTGTATGATGGGCCGTTTGCAGACCTAGGGGTAAGATCATGAGGGAAATGTAGGACCAAGGCTGGTCTGCACTCTATTTGCTTTCTTTCAGATCGAGTGAAAAATCTGTCTTAATAAGACTATAATTTCTGTAATTTAGTAGAGCTTTTGGATTGTTTAACAATTTACAGCACAGGGTGCTAGCTTTGCTCTTAACCTTTTTAAGCAGCTATATGACTGCCCAGTGTCCTTGCCTGCATATTTCATGCGGAAAATCCTGTAGCTCTTCTTTGTCAGCTAAGAGATGGATGAACTGATTTGGATGATATAACTATTCTAACAATAATGCATTGTAAATGTAGGTAATATACATACTTTTGTTGGGCTTTGATAAGCTTATAGTGTTTTCATAGAGCTTACATTTCTTACAATACACTTATTAACTTGAAAACATATCTATAAGCTTTGTTTTCTGCTGTTTCTGGATGAACTAAAATTCTTGTGAAATCCTTATTTTCTGATATTTTGACTGCACTGTCCTAAGAATAAAGTAGAAAAACAAACAAGCAAACAAACAAAAATATAAAAACCCAAACCCAAATAGACAAATGATCTTTAAAAAACAGTGCATTTGGATAAATAGGTATCTAGAAATTTTTTCTGGACCACGTTTTGAAATCTTGAGGTGAATCCCAAAGCACCCACTTCGCTTTGGTGATGATGTTGTATTTGATATTTCTTAAATTAACCTTGTGTTCACCAGCTCTGTTCAAAAAGAATGGAGCAACCTTCTTTACAAAGATGACAGGGAATCTCAGTTCAAGGATTAAGGGCAGCAAGAGTATACAGCTAGAAGCAAACAGCCTTTCAATTCTTGTAGAGGTCCAGTTGTATCTAAGACTAACAGCTCATCAAAACACTTGGGCATGCAGCATAACATTTCCAGAAATAAACCAAGCAATACCAATCCTTTCAAATCCTTTCACCAGAGCCTCAATTGCACTTACATCTGTGAGGGCAGAATGCATTAACACCCTATTACTTAAGAATCACTCTTTTAGATACATGAATGATCAAATCTAAACTTTTTTTTGCTAATCAAAACATTTTATGTTATTTATGAAAAGTGGCATACATCTCATCTTTATTTTACAGAGGGAGATATTTTGTTATCCTTTTAACCCCGCAGAACTTTAATTTCTGTTGTGCTCCCTGGTGAATTTTTTTGTTTGGATGACAGTATGACTGCTGCCAAGAAAGGGTCAAAGATACTAACAATTTTAATACCACAGTTAATGTAATTTGTAGAATATGCATAGTCTGCTACCAAAATTTATATTTCCAGCTTAAAGCAAATCACTCCTTACAATTTACCATCATTTCAGGGACCGAGGCTCTCTAAAATAACGATCACTTTGCATAGTTACTTATTTGAAATAAAACATTTAGATTATTCATTTCCTTGGATAAAAGGTTCTCGTTTGAGACAAACAACAGACTATCTATATATTTTTTTTTTATAAGTTCATGTTGAAAAACCTGATCCCCAACGTTGTGTTAACAGAGAAAAGAAAGGAAATAAATGTGCTGTTCTGTTGTTCTTTTTAATCTCTCCCCTCATTCTCCTAGGACGGAGGTTGTTATGGAGATCTATTTTGTAAAGCACTGAAAACATACAATATGCTTTGCTTTGGAATTTATCGATTAAGGGATGCACATCTAAGTACTCCCAGCCAATGCACTAAACGGTAAGTCCAGTCTTCTGGAACATCTCAGCTTCACTGTTCTTCAGTCTTCTCAACAAGGAAGGTCTCAGGGCCTGTAATAAATCTAAAAAAAGACCATTCTCCATTTTTGGCATAACTTTGCCACAATAGCTAAGTCTTTGAAGACTTCACAATGACTCTTTAGCTGACTTTAAATTATAAGCTGGATATCACAGCATAAATTTGTAGCTAATTTTATTCAAAAAATTTTTAATTAAATTTTCAGAATTTATCTTTATTTTGTTTGATTTATGATGATCCACTGTTTGCATGTGAGAAAAGGACTTCAGTTTCCTGATATCAATCAAAAGTAAATTACAGGATAATAATTCAAGTTATAATAGCTAGTCTTTTTTCTGAATGCTCAAAAAATACTCCTTTGGGCTTCCCATCAGTACTATTTGTATCTAATCATAATTTCTTCCAGTAAATGGAAATCCTTCCCTTTTTACTTCAGGAGCACCAAGCCTGACCCCAGTGCTTTAAATGGAGCAGGCACATTTCCATCTTTGCAAACTGAAGGCCATTTAGTAGCTTGCTTGAAATGTGTCTTAAGTGCCTCCTAGAAATACACACACAGACCTGTACCAGAAGTATCACAAATCTACCATCTGTTACTGTTTCATACTGTACAAAAAGCATCATTATTGGGTGAACATGGCAATAAACAACCCTGCAGGCCACCAGAGTGGTTTCTTCTGTAAGGATTTGGACAAATTGGGTAGAAAAAATGATTTGCAGTTTAGATTTACACTACATTTGCTATACTTGGGTTATTTGTTGGATTATTAAGGGAATTCTGTCCCTGAAGCAGCTAAGCAGATTTCTTATGAGCACAGAATTAATTTGAAAAGAAATTCTGAGCTTCATATTCAATTTTTACTCATTTCTTACTCAGACAGAAAATACCTATTGCCTTCCTCAAGTATGTTTTTCATGTGCATGATGAAATTTAGCAGCTACTCTATAAGCCCTTCCTACCCTGAAAGGGCATTAGGTGAAGAATTAGGAAATGCTTGAAACTGAGCGAGTTTTTATTTTAGACCTGAGATTTATACTAAGCAATGTTGGACTCTTGGATGTGCAGATTTCTCTTTATAAGTGGTCTTTGAGGCCATGAATGTACATGTGGAATGGATGAGCAAAATTAACCTCACTACAAATTTATTAATATATTTTCCTTAACTTGTTTTATGTGGAGTCACAATCCAAGCAAATAATTGTAACCCTTGCTCTATTGACAGTATTTAAATATTTAAGAACTGTATATATTAAATATGTATTTAAATAGAACTGCATATAAAATCCCTATCTCCTTGCTTTTCAGTCATTCTTTTAAATATTGTTTCTGGTGGGTATGTTACTGGTTTTTGTCAATATGTAAATCTGTTTGATAGAGTCATTGCATTATAGCTAGAGAAAGGAGAATGGTTTACATGGTGTCTTCTCTGAAAAATCACTATGTGACTCACTTGAAGCACATCCTCCTCAGATATTATGTCTTTCCAACAGAAGACATGCAAAAAGTAATAGCTGATGTGAGAAGGTCCTAAATCATAATAGGAGTTATGTGAGCTAAAATTAGGTATATACTGTAGGAAACAAATGCAAAAATCTGGCTAAATCTCATGAGCTAGCAACTCTAGAAGAATTTTTTTTAAATAAATCTAAACCTGTTTTCTCTTTCTTTTTTTCTTGCTTCCTTTTTTTCCCAGTTATGTTATCACAAACCCACCGTATGAATTTGAGCTTGTGCCGACAGACTTGATCTTCTGTTTGATGCAATTTGACCACAACGCTGGCCAGTCCCGAGCCAGTCTTTCTCATTCCTCCCATTCCTCCTATTCTTCCAGCAAGAAGAGCTCATCAGTTCACTCTATCCCATCAACAGCAAATCGACCGAACCGCACCAAGACCAGGGATTCCCGGGAAAAACAGAAGTATGTGCAGGAAGATAGACTTTGATATGTGTATCTACTCCCACTGTGTGTGAAACTTGCATTCACCACCCATTCTCCCCAGTTAATGTTTCCAGCAGTGATGTTCCCTGTTTTCCCATGGAGTTCTCCCTTTTTGTACACATATTTTGCATATGTATGACAGTGTGCATGTGATTGTCATTTTTATTTCACCACCATAAAACCCTTAAGCACAACAGCAACAAAGCAGACGGACCAAAAGTTATTTATGATGCTAGGGGAGAATAAAAAAGAATTTCAAACCTATAGGCACACTGAAAACATAAATAACTCACTGCAGTTACTCTACATATCCAAAAATAGAGAATATTGAACATGAACACTTGCTCTTGATGTCTGAGATACACAAAGAAAGTCATTTAGTGCAGAAGTGTTGATGTATGTTGAGGTATGAGGGGTTTATATTCATATTTAGAGAAGCTGATACATTTATTTGAAGCTTATAAAACTATAGAAAAAAAAACAACCTGCAGAAAAAATTCCCTACTGATTTTTCACTCTCAAAGCTTATATTATATAGGGCTTACACTCTTTGTATAGATTATTGCTACGCACCTGCTTTATACCAAAGCAATATCAGGGACTTTTCTGCTTGTTTAAGGATTTTCTCTGAAATAGTAGCCCTTTGGAGATAGTGTGTTTTTGCTTTAACGCTGATATTGTCTGGGCGTGAAGTTTTAAGACTCCAATGGTTTAATTTAAGTTTAGAAAGAGTCTAATTGCATATTAAATTATTATTCTGTCTATTTATACTGCCACATGAATAGCTATATTTTCTTTCACTTTTGACATTTGGGATAAAAAGCCATATGTATCATAAATATTGGATGTAAGTCATTAAAAACTGCCTTCCTGGGACTTTTACGTCTTTAAAAGGTGAATTAGTCACCTTATGTACAGAATAAATAATGTTCAGAAAAGAGCAAGCATTTTTCTATGCTTACATATCAGATCTCGAGGGACTTTATTCCTTTCCCCAGATGGTAGTTTAACTTTTCCAAGTTAGAGTGCTGGTATAAATCTTCCAACAAGAGTCCTAATGTGTAAAGATCCTCCAGAAATCTTGCTGCATGTTCTGGTTTTTTTTCCAACAGGTGCATACGAATTTGCAGGAATACAGGGAAAGACAACTGAGTGCCTTTAAGTCTCTCCCATTTGGGAAGAAAAGGTGCTGTGCCCTAGACAGCTAATGAGGAGAACAAGAGGGCTGGGTTGGAAATATTCACTGTGCTGTGGCATCATGTTTTAGGCACTTGCCTGAATTTAGTTCTTGCAGATTATCACTAGTGACACATGTAGCCAAAAAAAATTGTATCAGGGAACTAAATAAAGTAGTGGAAAGGAACCTACTCTAGACAGCCATAGAAATGATACTTCAGGCTTGCTTTTATTTTTTTAAAGTTAAATTTCAGAAGCCAACCTTTTGATATACAACCAGTTCTAGGTATATGGAGAGTTTCTTAGGGTAGGGAGGGCACTAACACATCCTCTTCCCTGGCTACCCAGCAAGAAAGCATGCAGACACAAAATAAATATTTGGATTTGGAATGATTAGCATTGTAACTGCCAACTCAGACAAGGTGCTTTTATGGTTAGTATTGTTTTCTACCTTCCCCTTCCCCGAGCATGATAATTTTGAAGATTTGCTTGCTGTGTGAATTGACAATGAAGCCAAGCACTTTTACTGACAAAACCTGGAACCATGTAAGTGGGCTACAGAGAATACCACTGTGCAGTGCTAACCATAATGATTGGAATACAGTATATATGTGTGTGTGTGCATTCAAATGCAGCTGTAAGTCCAATCAGTGAAATATGTTGCAAATTATGGATGCTCCCCTACAAATGAGGCTATTACAGTTGCTCTTCATCGTAAAGAAAAATTCATGTGTTTCTTTTTGCAAAGAAAGTTATCATGTTTTGCCCTGAGAATATTTATTACTTCAAGGATGTGCCAGTTAAAGTGCTCAACCAGAAATATGACAGTTTAAAAGCATTGTAAAACTTACATAGCTTACTTCTTTTTCTAAAGTGCAACAAGGATGAATAGAATGGGCCAAGGTATGAAAATTAATGGTTCTGCATGACCTAGCAACTGCTGTGGGTTTCCTTCTATAACTTTGTCCTTGTGAAAACTTGTGAAATTAAAAAAAAATAGTTACAAACTTTATTCAGTTATTGGTTTGTTTGTTTGGTTGGTTGTTTTGTTGGTTTTCCTTTGCCTTTTTTTCCCTCCAAACCAAAAGTAAAACTGGCTGCTGCTGCTGCTGCTGTTGCTCAACCCTGTTTTATTTTTTGTCCTCTCATCTGCTTGCCTTTCTAATTGCACGTGTCCTATTGTAAACACCCAGGTTCCTGCTCAATGAAGATGCCTATTCTGGTGCAGACATTAATTTCCCATTCCTCATTCCAATTTCTTTCCTCTCTTCCCCTCCCTACTCTCCTATCCCTTGTGTGTGTACATGAGCATCTTTTTATGTTGGCAATATTGATTGAAGATAGTCAAGAGCAGTTATGCATTTTGGAAGAATGTTAATGGCTTTGACACCAAAATGCTTTTCCATTAATGTTTTATCTGTTTTCCATTTAGTAGAGAAAGGAAGGGTGTTAATATGAAACCACTTGTCACATCATACGTAATGATTTTTTTTTTAAAAAATAGTATTTGTGTAACTGTGCAGCTCAAAAGAAAAAAATATAAACAGTGTACATTAGAGAAGCAACTTGTCTACTTTATGAGCAGCAGAAGAGGAATATCTAATATGGATGCAAATCTGAATTCTTCAAATATATTGAAGTCCAGTTCACCTCTGTCCTAAAGTTAGAATTCTAAAAGTTTTGCCTTTCAGCTATATCATGTGCAATTTCCACTGCTGACTATAGTCAGATTGATCCAATAGCTTATTACTGTGATAAAGATTTTCTGATACAGTTATACTAATACAACTGGGAGGTTGGTCATTACAAGTAGAGAAATACTTAAATCAACCATGTTATGTTGGATTTTATATTCAAAAGTAAGAGGAAATCTCCTGTGCTATTCCAAGTCAAACATCCTTAGTGGAATGGTTAGTTTCTGAAAGCTGGAAAGTATCACCAATGTCAAGAGAAGACTTTTTAGATCTTTAAATGGAGGTCCTGCCATTTGTATCAGTCCCAGCACAGTTCCAACATTGGAAACTAGGTTCTTAGTAAGCTTAAATGTTGACACAAAACTGTATCTAGCAAACCTGCAGGTTCTAGGCATGGGTTCCCACTGACTTAAACAGAGAGTCAGGCATTTTCCAGTGAAATTCCATTGTCACAAGTAAGAATTTTGCTAGTTTAAAAAATAGAAAATCAGTAAGAGCAAGTGCAGAACAGCATTTTTGTCACAAAACTTTAGTTGTCTTGGAGCAAAATAAAGACTTTCACAGAAAGTAAGAATAGTTCCTTGTCTCTCTGCCTCCAAATTGCTTACTGCCTGCCACACATAAAATACTCATCTGCCAAACAAAGAGTTGCTGAGCAGGTGGATGGGGAAACTTCGCCTTTTTCTCATGCAGGAACAAATTGCACAGGAGAATTTTCAGCTTAGTTATAAAAAAGCTGGCTGCATGGAGGGAGGAGACACACAGACTCATACATATAGACTAATTTGAAACTGCAAGTGTCACAAAAGAGAAAAAAAATGTGTGTTTTAAACAATGGTAAGGTAACCTGAGATTATGGTGAGAATACAAATTTAGTAAAATCTTTGTGTTATCTAGTACTTTACTTTGTGTTAGCTTTACTTCTTTACTTTACTTCTTTACTTCTGCTCAGAAGAGAGGGTGTTTCACAGTGACGTTTGTTATAAGTTGTTACTTAGTCCAGAATTAATGACAGAAATTTTAAAGAGATAATTGGAGATAATTGCTGGTGTCTTATACAAGTCAAAGAAATCTGTATTTTGATCATTTTACTTTAATTATTTATATCCTTTTTTATGCTGCAGGAAAGAGTCTTACACAAAAATGTTAATTTTTATTTATTTGTAATAAGAGCATGAAGGCTTTAGAACCTTTGTGGATGCACTGGGATGCTGATAGCCCATTAAACCATGAGCATTTGAGAGGAAAGTAAATGTTTTCTGCTTTCTGAGACATGCAGTTACTTAGCTGTTCCAACATCTCTCAGGTGATGCTGTCAAAAACAAACCTGCCAACTAGTGTAGGGAGATCAGGGACTCTCTTCAATAGCTCTTAAAAAAAATGAAAAACTGTGCCTATTATCTCTGTAATGTAGAAACACATATGGTAAGGGTCAATATGCGTATTCCAAAAGGGAGAGAAATAGGAACGTGACAAAGTCCTAAAAAGAGCTTGGTGGATATAACAATATCAAAAGACTTAAAAAAGGGATTTTCTGAACTGCTTTAAAGGATAGAGTAAGTAGTTTATTTAAGATAAGTAAAAATCTGTGCTAAAACTCCAGAAGACATATCACAGTCAGACTGTGAGTGTAGCATAAAAGAATGAAAAGTGTAAGACATTCAAGAAGGACATTTAGTTACTTGGAGCAGAATATCTTAGTGGTCAAGAGTAAAGATGAGGAGTGTTAAGCTTACATTTCAAAGGTAAGTATAGAGGTTGATGAACTTTCACAAGAAATTCATCGTTATGTGGTGAAAGACAATTTTAACAACAGAAAGGAACAGCAAAAGGTATAAAGCTGGGTCCAACCATTTGATACCGGAGATGGTAGTGCTTAGGTCAAAGTTTCAGCACTGGCGAAAAGAAATCTAAGCAGCAGAAGAAGTTAGAATCTACCAGTTTCTGCAATTTTTATTAGTGTTCTGTATTTATTACTTGCCAGCTAAATGCAAAAAGAGATGCAATGGTGTCTTTTTAAAGATCAGCTCCCCATATGAGTTTTATTGTAAAGATTAACATATAAATAATTAGCTTGTTATGAAAATTTTAGGGAAAGCAGGGTGTTTGGAAGTGCTTTACACTGGCTGCTGAGAAACACAATGCAGTTATGATTCTTAGGACTCAAGCAGTTCTCCCCTTTCTTGCTACGACATCGAATTAACTTGCACCAAGTTCTGTTTGTAAGGAAAGTTTGTGCACCGTGTGTTAGAAAAGAAGTTAGCAGTGCTTAACTTGTCTCAAAATCATTTTAAACACAAACCATTAGAAAACTGTTAGTTTGAAATTGTTTATGTGATCTCGCAAGGCTTTTAAAACATGATAACCATCACACTTTACACCTCTCTGAAAGGTTAGTTTAATCGTAGATCACATAAAATTGGTTTCCACAAATGCATAATGGTTCATGTGTCACACTTGAACTAAATGGTTTTTTAAATGGAGCTGAAATTATTTTGATGTGTACACATTCCCAGATTTTTTTTTTTTCTGACAACCTTTCTTAAACTGGCCCCCATCAGGAATCATTCCCTTAAAGTCTCATTAATAATTCAGATGTTCTGATTACTTTAAAAGATCTATGGAATTGAGGCTTCTTTTTTTTTTAACTGCTTGACAAAAAGATAAATGAATGTAGAAAGAAGCAGTAGGAGTCTGGCAAGCTGTAGATCATCTCTGAACAGATTGTAACTTTATCATTCTGTCAGGAAGAATAATTTAAAGCACTTAATCAGTTAGCTTCAGTGTGCAGGATGTAACATTATGAATTCCTATCGTCCAATCTGTTCAAATCAAAGGGAACTTAATTATAATAGGTAAAAGAGAGAGGGAGATGGGAGATTGAACCTTGTTCAGATTCAGGCAACTTTAAGGGGGTAGGGAATTATTCAATCTGGTCGCAAATGAGTAGGATCTTTTTAAACAGAAGTAAAAAGCATTTTAGAAAATGACAAGAAAAACAGTATAGTATTGCCATTTGCTTTGAATAATAAGCCACTAATGAGTAATATAATTCCTTTTTTTTCAATTTAATTTTTTAAAAAAGTGTAAGAACAGGTAACAAATAGATCGGAAAAAAAAAAAAAGCTGGAGTAAATGCTTATGAGTTTGGGGTTTGTTGTTGGGGGATGGGGTTGCTGCATGTATATTCGTGAAATCCATATCAAGTGTTAAGTGTTTAAATGGGATATTCACAAAAGTGACTGAGAAGTCCAGTAATTCTGGAAATTAGGTTACCTCTTGAGAGGCTCTAACTCCGAAGCTGGTTGCTTATTTTTGTACAGTTATGCCCAGGTATTTGTCCTTTATTCTTCCCAGTCTTTCAGTTTCTTTTCTCTCCTTTACCTCCTGAGCTTTTGTGCTTGATCCTTGAGTTTCCAAGGTGGATTTTGCTTTGCTTATTTTTAATCATTTATTTATTAAAAAATGAGTATTTCTTCCACTCCTGTCCTGATTCCAGATACTGCAGCATTTCAGAGGTTTGCAAAAGTAGCAATTTGTATTACATAAGCAAGACACTAAAGCTTCTGCAGCATTTTGGGTTCCCCACTGGAATGAGAAATAGTGCATACATGTAAGAGCAGCAGCTCTGACATGGCACACTTTAAATCTTACATATAATAATGAAAATGCCGAGAACCATAAGTGTCCACTGCCCTACCCTCCCACCTCTGGAATTTGGGGAAGGAGGACAAGAATGGAGACCCCTGTTCACAAATGCTTGTCAAAGCACAAGCATACCTAATAAGCCACTCTTTAGACCAGGAGTTTCTAAGTCTTTGAATAGAGCTATCTTATGAAGTTGCACACCTGTAACTGAGAAATTACAAAAGAAATTGCTCTCTAAAGGGTTTAATAAAATTATTTTTATTTTTTCCTTTTGTGAATTTTAAAAAGTTTTTGTCCAAACCCACATAAGAACAGTGCAATATAATGGTTACAATGATAAACAGCTAGGAAATGGCTGTAATGCTGCAGCCCCTCAGCGTCCTCACTCCCTCCCACATTGTTCCCATCCCACCTTAAAGCATACCATAAAATTCCTCCTATGTTCATGGAAACGGACACTGCCCAAAGATATGAAAGAAACAGCTTCCTCTAATCTTCCTTTAAGTCCTTGCTTCCTTTGCCTTGCTGTCACCTATGATGACCAGTCCATTCATGATTAGCTGGAGCCCCTACTACAGTCACCTGCTGCAGCCAGTGTATTCCATACACCTTCTTAAACTGTAGAGTTCAGCAGTGCCCAAGCACCTATGTTTCAACGTAACAATATAAATCCCACCCTGTGTAGGAAGGCTGCCATCTGGCAGCATGAATACAAGTCCTGTTTATTCTAGCACCAACTGCAGAAAGCTCTATTCATTCTCCTGCATGATTTCTGAGACAGCAGTAGCGACCATCCGGAGGTTAAAATGGTTCAGAGAAGTGATGGTTCAGAAGCACCTCTTTAGGTGCTTTTCTGTGTATAGACTCACATACTCTTTTCTGCATTACCCTTATTCCAGCTGCTCTCCCTGGCTTCTCAATATCATTTTTTCAATAAATGACTCAAGAGAGTGTTCATCTAAGCATGGGATAAAAAAAGATCCAACAAGAAAACTAACGTATTGGCAGTTTTCTTTAGTTTCTATTATCAAATCTGCAAACATCATCTTCCTTTCAGTATTTTCAGAGGTATTAATCTCATGCTGTACTGCTAGTAATTAATCAAAGAAATCACCTTCTGTTGATCTATTTTCTCTATAAACTTTACTGACTGCTCCCCCCCCTTTTATTTGAATGTTTATGTGTATATGTAGTTCACTAATTAAAACTTTCATTTTCCCTCCTTATTCTGTCTCTACCTGTTTCGCTCCTTAGCAGAAAAGAAATGGTTTACAGATGAACCGGATAATGCCTATCCCAGAAACATTCAAATCAAGCCCATGAGCACTCACATGGCCAATCAGATCAATCAATATAAATCAACAAGCAGCTTGATACCACCAATCCGAGAAGTTGAAGATGAATGTTGACTCCTTCGAGGCCAGAACTATTTTTTTAAAGCCTGACAAACTTCATGAATGGTGATGTGACATTTATTCCTCTTACATGCTGAACCACTGATGGAGAAGTTAAGAAGGGCAAGCTTAATGGGAAACTGAAGTAGACAGATCTTTGTTTGTCTGCCTTTAATATTGCTTCCACGTATTTTGGAAACTATTTCATTTATAAATGAACATAATCAAAACTAGTCATGTATAGCCTCTAGCGTTTTAAATTATTTTTATTTATTAGAAAAAAATATATTTTTTTTCTTTTTTTTCATTGTCAAGTATTTTCCCTTAAAAAAACCTGCATGTGTGGCCAGACTCCTAAGAATTAAAAAAAACAAAACAAAACAAAACAAACAAGAAACCCTTAGTCTTTGGCTTAAAGGAGAATGATGGTCACAGTTATAAGGATGTGTAATTAAGGGAGACAAATGATATATTTACAAAAAGGGAAAGAAAAAGGTCCAACTTGTATTTTAGTAAATCAAAAAAAAAAAAAAAACCACCAAAAAAATCACCCTACAACAACTCACCAAAATGTTTCTTTACTGGAAGATGTGTATTTTGTTCAGCATCAACACCAGCTCTTAATAAACTGAACTTATTTATTTTCAAAGTCGAAAGTCATATTTTTGTACATGTAACATTCTTCTGAAATATCCTTTGTTTTATTAACATACATAGATCATCTTTATTGCCAGTTATGTGAGGGTCCAATAACCCCCCACACGCACTGCGCCCTACCCTGTCTCACGTGCACACACACCCACAGAAAAACCTGGCATCCTCAGTAACTTTCTGTAACACTGGCATAGGGAATGTCCCTGCCCTAAACCAAGGGCCGTGTAGATAAGGTGCACTTGCTATAAATGGCAAATCTGGCAATCTCACTTCACTTCCCATTAGCCATCAGCAGTTGCTAATTTCAGGAAGGCAGGTTTGGCAATTCTTCTTTTGCCATGTATTACTGTGCTTTCATCCAGGCTGCATAAAATAGCGCATGGAAGCGTAAGTTATAAACTGTCTCATCTACCATATTTTGTTACTTCTTTACTTCAAAAGTGCTGATGGCCTTTCATTGGTCTGATTTGGTTCAAATGCTTCCTGATACGTATAGAGATTTAGCTCCAGCTCCTTGCACTTTGGTGATAGCTCATACCTTAGTAAAGGACACACTGAATCTCCTTTTGGGGAATTCAGATCAGGATAAAAACTGGTTTAGCCTCAGCTCTATAATCGTGCAACATGCTGTCCTCAGTTAATTCTTGCACCAAGCAACATCTTATTTTAGCAGTTGATTTTTTTTTTTTTTTTTTATCCCTCTAATTTATTTTCACTTTGCTGGGACACCACACATAAAAGTACAGTAATAACCAAATCAAAATAATAATAATGAATGTATTTATTATGATAACATGCAAAAGGCCTTTGATGGGTGCCTTTTGTGTCAGCAGTTTCACAAAGTTGCCAACAAGCTTTATAGCCATCAGACAAAAATGTGATGTTTCATATCTGTGCTGCAGTACCTATCCACCCAAGCATTTATGTTCTAAATGATTTAGTAACTCTCTCTATCTCAAAGAAGCAACATCTGACACAATTGTACGAAGAAAAACAAAAAGAAAAGGCTGTGGTAATAAGGAAACAAAAACCAAAAACCCCAAACAGAGTCATCAGGAAAGGCAGATTTTCATTGTGCAAGTTAACTTTAGGCTTTGTAATTTTGCAGAATTGTTAAAACACCACAATAAAACATACTGTGGTATTTTTATCAGTAGAGAAATATCAGTGAATCAAACAAATACAAAGCAGATGATGAATTTATTGTGAAAACAATGATGTCCACTATATAATCCAACATTTAAGCCAATCTATTCAGCTTTAATGTTTGTCCACTGGCTGCAGTACAAGTATAACCATACTAACACCTAATAGGCTTTATTCTGGAGTGACTTCTTGGACTGTGACTATTTTGTTGCTACATTTGTAGAATAGCTATTTAAAGACAATAACAAGAATTGTTAATACAGTATCTGTAAAATTGGACTGTTTAAAATATTTCACTCTCCTACAAAGTAAAAAAAACAGTTCAAGCAGTTTTTCATAATTACTTGGACCATGTTTAGCACATTTCACAGTCCCCAAAAGAGAAGATAATTCCAGTGAGTTCTTCCAATCTACGCTGCGTCAGCCTAGTGACACATTATAATTTACATCCAGTTTCTGCGTTGGGTCATGTTAAGCCTTTTCTTTGAAGTCAGTGCTCCTTTTTCATTTATGAACTGCATATTATAACCAGAATGGAAAAGCTGGTCCTGAGTACAGGTGAATTTTAGAAATTTGTGCTCAACCTCACCAAGTACATGTGATTTCTTTTTTTTTTTTTCTTAGAAGACTGTTGTTTACTGTAGAGGCATAGAACATTCTGTCTTATACTTTATCATGCACATTGCCATTTCTGAGTGTCTTTCCTTCAGAAGTGAGCATTCCCTGGATAAAACATACTAGTGAAACAAATACAACACTCCTACATAGCTAAGGGGTGTGTGTGTCTGTCTGTCTGTCCAATTTAACTGTCACACCAAAAAATATCACGCTACCAACTGTATATAAATAAAGGACAAAATCTGAACACACTCACGCACTCTCCTGGCACAGACAGTTCCATATGTAGTGATAGATAGAACACCACCTGTAGAGAGCAAACAAGACAGAGAGAGAAACAGGTAGAGTTATGACTTTACATTTCCCCTTTACAGAAAAGCTAAAAACAATAGTCTGTTCTTACTCCTATTTTTGATGATCAAAGATGCAGGGTTGACTTCTGGCAATTAAATGGAAGAACATGTAGAAAACCTGTTGGGGATCTTTGATCTTCAGCCATTAAAAACTACAATAAAGCCAGCATCAATATGTGGATATATGAAGTTACATTAAAGCTGGGAAAAGGCTGGGAAAGGGGCCTAAGTGACAGCTGACAGACCACATGATGACTGATGTAGAAATAAGTTCTTGATCTTTATTAACAATTCTTACTCCTTTCTGAAAAGGCAAAAAGAAAAAGGCAGGGTGGGAGGAATTTCGACTTTTTTAATAATTGCATGCACTATTGATGCAGGCTATAGAATTTTTTTCGGTAACTCATATTGGACAGATAGTGTGTCTCTGTGTGTGTCTGTGTGTGTGTGTGTGTGTGTGTGTGTGTGTGTGTGTGTGTGTGTGTTTGCATATATGCATGTCCACACATACACATATATGTAGAGATACACACATATACATGAGGGTATATATGTATTTGATTGAGTCATCATATGAGGATGGACATCATTTTTATTGTCCATGCATTGAAAGACACAAAAAAAAGGAAAATATGTGGCTAATAGGGTAGCACATAGAGGAATTGTATCTGCTGTTTCCTCCTGGTTTGACCAGAAAGCAGCCATTCCTGTTAGTTTTATGAGGGATGCACTGTAATTGCACTGCAGACGCACCCTCTCCTTCCACTGCTGCAGCAGGCATGTGCTCCTCACACCCATGCACTTGCACATTGCCAGAAAATCTTCTCTCTCTCTCTCTCTCTCTCTGCTTCATGGCTATTATTTTAATTTGTCCCCATGAAGCACTAAGATTAAAGGATAAAACTGTCCTCTAATAGATTTGATGGCAAGTGCCAAGCACAGCAAAAGTTAAACTATAAAGAAGATATTCATAGTCTAAATGCAATTTTTTAAGGCCTCTATCTGATTGTCTTACTGCTGTAAGAAATGTAAACATTTCCTTGTAGTTTTTGAAAATGTACTAAAACTGTCACTGCCATCTTAACAGCTTGTCTTTTAAATCACCATCAATGGCCAAACAGTAGGAAATACATATGACAGAAAGAGCAGACCCCTTGACCTGGGCCAAGCATGGTCACTTGGATATGAAAAAACTTAATTGGCCTCAGCAAATGTGGAAAAGGGCAAATGTAGTTTGCATGCACTGTACAAGGGACGCTACAAATTATTTTTTTTTTTGTTGGGTGGTGGTGGGTATTATTGTTGGATATTTTTGGCCTGTGTAAGGAAGATTTCACATTTCTTGATCTCTTCATGTAGTAGGAGAAGGAGAAAGTGCAATAGTGTGTTCTCATTCAGGGAGGACTGGTTTTGTTGGGGTGTGGGTGTGAGTGTGTGTGTTTCTGTGTAAACCACATCTAACGTCTACTGCAATAATTGGGTGCATAAACTAATGCATGACAAAAAAAAGCAATAATTTACAAATGGGTTATTATTCGTGTTATCACTGCTTGATCACTCAGCAGCCAATACATAATCATGTTAGCAACTGCCCTGGTCTAGCTGACTCACATGGCTCAAGCTCAAACACTGAGCAGGTGCTTAAATTATTTTATCAAGAAGTGAATTCCTAAGGGCTCCTGGATCCCAGTGTATTTGAAATGAACACAAATTGAGGTCGAGGTGTGTGTGTATGTGTGGTTTTTTTTTTTTTACAGCTGTTATCATTGTGAATTTCTTTAGCACCAAAAGAAGTGTGTATCTCACCTTTCATTTCTAGTTTTAAATGTGCATAAACGAAATAACCAAGTGCGTGAAAGGCGATGAACAAGACAAAGTGCCCTGTGTTACAGTGGTTTAGACTGGAATTATCTGTCAAAATCAATGGCACATGCATAAAAAAATTCAAGGGAAAGGAGAGCTCTTTATATTCTTTCTGTTGCTTTCCATTCTGTGCCATCTGAACCACCAAAATCCCCAACATACAAACAAACACCTTTTTAATTTAGTTTGTTTTTTAATTCTAAAGATGCTTGAACAATCACAGGTTTAAGGGAAAGTTTTTTTAAAAACTCCTTATATATGCACACCAGGTGTTCTAATATTCCATTAGTAGGCCTAATATTTGGAGCACTTTCATGCTGAGCAACAGTAGTGAGTGTGGGTTACAGCCCTCATCTGAAATAATGAAAGGAATGGAGCAGCTGTTCTGCTGTGGTCACAGGTACATAGGCCTATAGTATTGATAAGTCTGTCCCAGCATTTATCAAAGCTATATTTATACAAGTAATGTATCTTCTTCAGCACAGATTTTCTCTGCTATAGAACATGCTGCCACATTGAAACTGTATAGTCTCTGTGCAGTAGTCTATATAACCAAGTAATTCACTGAAGTGAATAGCTAGGACTGCTGGTCTAATTTATCTGTTCTATACAATGGTATGTTACTGTTAACTGTCAAAATGAGAAGGAGTAAGGAAAATGAAGAAAATATAAAATATAAGATGTTTCTTTTATTACTTTGGGTTAATTTAGAACAATAACTTAAGAAGCTAAACACAGTAATGCTGCATCTAACTAGAACCTTAATGAGGTTGAAAGAAGGCTTCTTACTGCTTCAGTCAATGTATCTTAGATGAGATCTCTATAACTTAAAAAAAAAAAAATACAAAAAAACAACCCAGAACACAACATATAGGCAGTTGAATACCTGTAATAGAAAACATAGATTTTTCAGAAACAAAAAATGTTTTGTTGACTGGACAATAACAGGAACCACATTAAAGTGTCAGCAGAAGTTATAATCAGTTAAAAAATGCCGCTTCTGCCATGGTATAGCTTGGGACACATGAGCTTAGCCAATGCAAATAACCTAACTTCTGGGGAAAAAAGAATTATATAACTCTAACTTTCACATTTTTGTAGAGTTCAAGAGTGATGAAGTCATTTTCTTCCTTCAGGAAAACACACACACGTCAACACATATATACAATATATTTTAATTGTTTCATATGTCTAGTTATAATTTGGGAGTGAGGATGCAAGGGGGTACATTGAGAACCAGCTACCATTTTAAGGTAAAAGTTCATCAAGAAAAAGGAGTATGACTTCATCATTTTACTTTTACCATTATGGGTTGGTGAGAGAGAACAAATGCTGGTGCTCAGAAATGATCTACCTGACTTTGTCATATGTAATATCCAGTGATAAAAATATTGTCCTGTAAAAAGGGTTTGTACATAACTTGTACATGGTTTCATTTTGTATTTTTCTCAGATTAAAATTTATGTATTTGTGTTCTAAAAGAAGGAGAGATTTCTGTGTTTTCTTTCTTCTAGAAAAGTTTGTAACATGTATCATCAAGTCATGAATAATACTTAATTCACAAAACCAATGCTATTAATACTTTGACATAAGACTAACTCAGAGACTTTCTCTCACTTAAGCTCCAGAATCAGCCTCTTGGTTTATGTCAGCTGCTGTGCAGGATGCTGTGAGTGCATAATTCTGCAGTAGCAACAAATGTCACCCTTATATCCGCTATGTAGTCAAATACAGATATAGTATGGTCTGATTTAGCTACTTTCCATTGATTATGATGGATTGATAATTTTGCTAAGCAGTCCAAAAATGTTCTCCTTTCTCATGATGAGAATTTTAAAATTAATTGCAAGTTTTGGACTATGCTTCAATTGCAGTACAGGAATTATGCATCATCCTACATGCAACTGTATGTTTTTAAGCTTAAGAAAAACTAAGTCTCCTTTTGGAGTCTGTAACATTCTGGCATTCTGCTATTAAATAACCTTGTTATTTAAAGTTGACATCATTAATCTTCTGTGCAGCAGTATCACCACAGTGATTTGTAATCAACAACAGTATGATGAACTTTGGTTCTGAATAATGGAAAGAGGAGGAGCAGAGCTCTGCAAGAGCCTCGGTTAAGCATCTGAAAAACCAAAAGTACAAATAGTCGATTGGTCCTAACACAAAGAACCTGGTATAAAATGGCTACACCGGTGTTTGTAAGCAAATAAGAGTGTTTTGGGGAGGGAGGGTGGGTGGAGGTAGAAGAAGGGGAAGAATCAGTGCATGACAGTATTTGTGCAGGACTGTGGAGAACTGAGAAAGAACTGGTTCAGCATCAATGTCAGTAAAGCAAACTGGTCCAACCCTCACTAAATTCACTTGTCCAAACTATCCTTAGACTCTCTCACTGAGGAAGAGAGTTTATGTGCCATAAAAACTGTGATATCTATCTGAACATTTCAATGAAAGGACTACACTATGTTAGTAAATCTGTATATATATGTATATATGTGTACATTTGGATGTGAATATTTATATCTACACATATATGTCACTATCTACTAGTTTTTTTAGGCTCTTGACAGATAGATGGTGAAGTTTGCTGTCAAAAATACTTAAATCAAACCTGGCCATAGAATAACTAAGGTATGAAACTGTTTTGTTATGTATCTACAGCCCTGTTACTCATCAGTACAAAGATTAGATTGAGCTGAACCCCATGCAGTTCCCCCGAAAATTATATAATAAATCTAGTAAGCAAGCAGTGAATGAACAGGCTGCTCACACCTTTTCTGGACTGTGAGGCAGTCTTACTACTCATTCACAATACCTTAATTATATTATAATAATTAAACATTGACTTTTTTTAAAATTTATTTTTATTGAAAATATATGGGTCAAACTAGAGAGGTGATTTCACGAACATAGCTTTGTACATCGAAGGAGTACCACTGAGGGACAAGGGAACTATGAAACAAGCAGCCCAAAGGCAGGGTCAAATATTTGCCATAATCTTCTGTAGCATTACAGAAATATCTGAAAACAAACAAACAAACAAAACCCGCTGAAAAACCCCCATAAAAAAATAATTAATCTCTTTTCAGTCCTCAATCACTTAGC